TTGGCGCCAATATTCCTCGCAAAACTTAGCCAGTTAAGAGTGAGACTGGCGTCGAAAAAGTACCATCCTGCAAAGAGGTCGGATAAGTTTATAGCGAGATTTATGATAGCCAATTTTTTCATGGAACGAACGTTCAATAGGTTGAAGGGAGGGCGGGGGGGGGACGGACTTTAGTTGTGCGTACAAATTAGGGGCCCGAGACTTGACCAAAGCCAACAATATTATATTGCAGCGAATTTTATGAATTATCTTGTATCTTTCTCTCTCTCTCTATCAAAGTCTATCTCCAAACACACACACAGACACACACACACACACACATTAGTGTGTGTGCTTGCATGTGTTTGGGCGTGTATGTTTGTAGAGGGTGCTTCTGTGTGTGTGCGCGCGTATTTCATAAACTTTATTACTATAAGTGATAAGATAAACTGTCAGGTATATATATATATATATATATATATATATATATATATATATATAATAAAAAAATATATATATATATACGGCAAAAAAAAAAAACGAAAATTAACTCTTTTGGGATTTTTACTGTAAAAAATACATATGTTCTGTTAAATTAAAAACATCGAGCTCTCTGTGGTAAGTTTTAATAATTAATATTACTAGGATCCAACCGGATTATATACCAAAGGATCGATTACCTGTACTATATATATATATATATATATATATATATATATATATATATATATATATATATATATATATATATATATATATATATATATATATATATATATATATATAATAATGTTATTTTTATGAAAGTATTTATATTTGATATTTCAGATCGACCTCGACGTGCAGAAAGATTGAGGTCGATCTGAAATATCAAATATAATTACTTTCATAAAAAAAAAATTATGTTTTTAATTCGCAACTTTTTAGTTGCTTTTCTATATATATATTAAGAAAGTATACGTGGCTTCGCATTATACTATATATATATATATATATATATATATATATATATATATATATTATAACATCAATCAGTTAACTGACTAATTGAATTCATATTAATACTACATATCTACATTCCTATATATATATATATATATGTGTGTGTGTGTGTGTGTGTGTGTATAATATAACATCAGTCAGGTAAGTGAGAAATTTAATTCATATTAATACTACATATATAAATGCATATATATATATAGATAGATATAGATATATATGTATGTATATACATATATACATATATATATATATAACATCAATCAGTTATGACAAATTTAATTCATATTGATACTACATATATAAATGTATATATATATGTATGTGTATATATATATATATATATATATATATATATTTATATATATATATATATATATATATATATATATATAGATAGATAGATAGATAGATAGATAGAGAGAGAGAGAGAGAAAGACAAAGAGAGAGAGAGAGAAGTGTAGTTCCATAGAAACCCAATAAGTCTTAAAATGAATTTTTAAACATGAATTATCTTTCTTGAATCTTTTAATTTCAAGCTAATAGATTAGATGTATTATTTACAATAATTAAAACATTTTTCTGCATTTGAAACTAATTTAAATTTGTTTTCTTCTTTATAATGACTAAAATAACTAATTTTAACCTCATTTTAGTTATCTTAAAAAAATCTTCCAAAACTAAAAATATACTTTTCTGAAACGGCATAGTAATATTAGTTGATTTAAAGCTTAATTAAAATGATTTGAGACAAATATTCGTTGCTTTAAGTTTAAAATATTGCAGAAATACATAGTTTATCTAATTTTGTTGTCTGTTGGAGATATCTGTAAAAAATACTTGTTGTATACTATTTAACTACCCAGTTATCTTTCCAATTTAGCAAAATAATCGAAGTAATTTAATCTTTTATTAAATTTTGGATACTTTAGCTTTAAATTTACTAAAATTATCGCTCTTATTTTCTGATAATGTCGTGGTGGGCGACGGTATTTAAAAAATAGGAACTTTCCTACACATAAAAAAAAATTCAAAATTCTTTTTAAAATATTGCTTTTTGCTAAATTATAGTAATGTTTTCCATTTATGCTTCGTAAACATAGTTTTTACTTAATTAAATTATCACCTAAGTGGGACAAATTAAGACAGAATTTTAAAATATTAAAAACTTTAAATGAAAATTATTGTAAAAATTTATCAAAAAATTATTTCTCAACACAATAGTGTCCACAATATATCTTAAAATTAATTAAAATTAAAAGCTTTTCTAATTAAATAATGCTTTGGTTTCATTGCATTATTGTTTTACGATTAAGAGGACTTATGGTTCTGTTTTACAAAAACAAATTGATGATTGAAATTTTCCATGTAGTTCTGGTTTAAAGTAATATAAATTTTAAGCGATACAATATTCACTTTCTTGAAATTTTATGAAATTAAATAAGTCTAGGGTAAAAAAATGTAAAAAAATATTTTTACCAAAATTTTCTAAAATTAACATTTGTTAAATAATCCCATTCATTTGTAAATAAGTGCTGAATGTTTCATTAATTCCGACCATTATTTGATTCTTGAAGGAATTTCCAAATCAATATTTTTCACCGCAAAAGTGACGCTAAAATTTCCTATATTAATCATTGCCGACCACATCTCTACCCCACTCCCCGCTGACGCGAAAAATACAAAGATTTTTAACCAAATTTTCTTTGGTCTTTGGTCCTCTGAAAATAACAGATTTTGACGATAAAACTTAGTTTTTATTAAATTTGAGATATTTTTTCATCACGGTGGGATAATGTTTTAGCAAATCTGTGGAGATGTGTGCCTGTGTGCAAGTTTAATCAGATATGTCGCCATATGTCTCCGTTCCCTCTCTGTCTGTCTCTGCCTGTCTGTCTCTCTCTGTATATATGCATATATATATATATATATATATATATATATATATATATATGTGTATGTGTGTGTATATGTGTGAAGATGTATATATATATATATATATATATATATATATATATATGTGTGTGTATGTGTGTGAAGATGTATATATATATATATATATACATCTTCACACACACACATATATATATACGTATGCATACATACAGAGAGAGAGACAGAGACAGAACAGAGAAGGATATATATATATATATATATATATATATATATATATATATATATATATATAAAGGTGTGCTATATTTATGGGATAAAGTCCTCAATATCAGAGATAGAGCGATGTAAATATAAATATAAAAGTGAACATTGATGTCAACACTCAGGGCGACAGGCTGTTTTATGCTGGACGCAATCGTCAGCCACAATTGTCAGGCGACCTGACGATTGCAGCCAGCATGAAACAGCCTGTCGCCTCTGGAGTGTTGACGTCAATGTTCACTTTTATATACACCCCCACACATATATATATATATATATATATATATATATATATATATATATATATATATATATATATATATGCTCGTTTACCGATTGAGCTCTATAGAGAAAGGGCAACTCCAGCTATTTACACTGCTCTTCAGTGATGAATCGAGCGCTTTTTGTTACTAGCGATTGTATACATCACGTATATAATACGTTAAAATTTCCTTTTCTCTGCCGTACGCCGATAGCCGATAGAGCGTTCGCTTGTCCATTTCATAATGTCTGACGTCATTTGTTTACATTTGATACGCTATGAGCAGACATGAATGTACGTGAGAGATTCATGAAAGATTGAATTTTAAATACAGTAAATTCGACTTTGCCAACCGAACGCTCGTTCGTGGCCAAATCGGTAAATGCACGTCAAGCTAGGTGATGGTTCCGTATAGGATTCAGGTTGGATTCTTGTCGGAGGACGAATATTTTCTGTGAAAATTTCTCGGATATTCAGGCCGGTAAATGTTGTTTAATAGTGTTTATTTTAAACAGAGAATTTACTTAAATATTTGTATCTATAAAAAGAATGTTAAACATATATATATATATATATATATATATATATATATATATATATATATAGGCAAATATTATTAACAACTTTTTTGTGTCGATTTATCTGAATGATGGATTTTTCCAAATTACTATTAATCCTTCTCAGATTGAAGCGAATTTTTGTCAAAAATTCTCCGAAGTTCACTTCGAAAGAAAAATGCAGGAAATATGGGTCAAACCGACCTTGTTAAGTCATTATCAGGGTATGTAAATGCAACTAGAGAATTTGGTAGGATTAAGGGAACACATGAGTCAGTATGGAGTTATGTAGGTAAAATATTGTCAAGGATGGAGAAAAAATGAGGAGGAGGGAGATTAAACCTTAATATTCCATGATCATAACAGAGAGAATTTTAGGAGAGATGGGTGGAAGGGTTTTAATTAAGAGAAAAAAATGAATGTTGACGGATGTCTAATGCATAAAGATACATTTCGTGGTGACATACACACACCATAGATAATCTAATGTTAAAATAAGAGGGATATAGATATATATATATTCACGTATATATATATATATATATATATATATATATATATATATATATATATACTAGCAGTAGAGCCCGGCGTTGTCCGGGGATGTAACAGTAAGAGATAGATCAAGTATCGAACATCATAAAGACTGAAAAAATAAAATTGACAACGATTATTGTTTAAGGTTGACGGACACGCATGTCTTAGTTTTTTGTTTGTTTTTTTTTTTTTTTACGAATTAGTCAAACCCAAACTCAAACAAAAACATTGTTTTCAATTGTTATGAGTCTATCGATTGAATAGAATTTTATTATAAACAATTGTCTTGTAAATGGAATTTTTAAAGCATTCTGAATGTAAAAATAAAGGAAAAAGTGTGCAAGACAATAAGAAACACTGCCTGCCAAAAAAAAAAAAAGTGAAGTTTTGTTGAAATCGGTTGAAAATGTAGGAAATCCGATCCCATATATAAACGAACACACACACAAACAACCTGGGTTTTATAATAAGTATAACTCGATATGAGTTGTCCCCCTTTCATTCTGGCG